CATATCCCAAGAAAAGGTGTTGTCCATACAACAGGCCCAAAGTTCACCGATCAAAGCGGTGTTCATGAAGCAATCGTTGGCCTCATTGCCAAGGCTCATCTCTAACAGCAAAGTCCTCATCTTTTGAGGGTCCGGGCCACCGCTTGTGCCAAGGGTGATCGTTGCAATGTCGAGGGTCGTAGCCGCACTGCAATCAACTGTGTGAGACCATTGCCTGTGAGCTTGGTCAGGAGGTCGAACAATTCCTGGCTGGCCGAACTCCTGAGGGAGATGTCGAGTCTCCAAGGAATCACCACATTGGATGTGGGCCCCACCTGGTCCGAAGGCATCGGTTTCAATGCCGTGAACCGATGAATCAGTTCCGGCTGGTTCGCAAGCGTGTGGATGCGTTCGATCATCTTTGAGGCTTCCTCGGAGGAGATCGGATCTCGGGACGACGGCTTCAGTGTCTTGTCCTGATGGTCCCACTGAAGATAGTTCCATGCATTCGTGGTGGTCAAGATCTGTTTGGACCGAAGGGCCAGGATCAGTTCGTGGTCGTTTGACCCTAGTGGAAGCTGGGCAGCTCTGCTTGCAAGTTCTTCGAACACCGACTGAAACATCAACTGACGGAGCGGGCGATCTACCTTGCCTTGCTCTCGTTGGCCATGCCATGTCCTCGAGATCTGAAGCATCTGCGGAAGGATCGAACTCTTGCCGGCCTGGATGAACAAAAGGAAAGTACGATCGAGGTTCAACTGGTTCAGTTGGTCCTCTTGCCTCAAGGTCAGTCTGGCCAACATACCCAGCAGAGTGGAATCGTCGACCGAGCCCGAAGCCGATGAGTGCGATGACCTCCTCTGTCCGGATCGGAAACGCTGCTGACCGGATGAGGGTTCCTCCTCGTTGGGTCGTTGCCGTTTGAAGTGACTGGAACACACCTCCATCAGGTCTGAAAAAGATTGATCCTCTTCTTTCAAATGATCCATCCCGCAGACCCTGGTGGAGGCACCAATGATACCAGTCTTGGGCCAGGACATGTTCAAGTTCGAAGAGGCATGTTTGAAACAACTGGTGTTGAAGATACAAACTGTCATGCACTTGAACGTGTTCAGGCAGGATGGAATGGCGCAAGGTCATCTGAGTTCCACGCCCAAAAGATGGGATGTACTCGGGTGCAAACATGAAGCAGGTTGAGAGGCACTGCATGCTCAATCTGAACCTGCGGGTGATCTGTGAAATGAGCCAACCAGGGTGTGACGTGAACATACCAGCTCAGTCTGTGTTCAGGCCCAAAAATGGGTGTGTGAACCACCGCAGAGTACGAACTGCTCAATGGATGCGCACAAAGATCATGAGCCATCTTGGGGTGCCAAGCTGGCGTGTCAAGTGGCACGTGCAATCCACAGGGGCTTGGCCCTTTGCATGGTGAGGCAACAATCAAGGCCCTGACTTGCTTGTCAATGACAGTCTCAGGTTTGTCATGCACAAGCACTGGCAGGTCAGACTCGGACATGGTCATGGTGGAAAGAGCGGTCCGGTCAACAGGTCCATAGTGCATGTCTTTGACCCATTCGATCAACAATGCTGGGCACGTGGCACGTTGGTAGTGCAGTCTCAGGGCAGCCTCAGTCGTGAAGCAGCTCAGGCAATGAGCACATCCGAGTCGACCATGCATCATGTCCCTACTAGGTCGAAAGCTAAAGAACTCCGGCTTATCAACTTGATGGGCATTCCTCAAATGTCCAGCTAAGCCCTTCCTGCCAATGTGGGTTTGGCATAGGGGACAAAGGAACATCTTAGGTGGTTGAGGGACTTCAGCTGGTGCTTGAGTCAACATGGCTTGGACTGTGTCGACACGAGGCTTCTTGGAGGTCCGGGCAGGCCCGGATGCAGTAGTCCCTGTGTCATGGTCATGTGACAACATGTGCTTTTCCAGGCCTGTCGATGTCAGGAAGCTACTATGGCATCGTTGACAAACAAAAATGGTTGGTTGCAGTGAGGGCAATGCTTCATCCATGGGTGCATCACAGACTGACGGCGGTGCACACGAAGCTGAGGGAGCAGGAGAATCATGAAGGTCACCTGACAAATGTGGCGATGGAGCTGCAGGGATCGATCTGGACTGCGCTGAGGCAGGCTTGGGGTCACTTCTGGAGGCCTTCATCATTACAGGCATGACCGGAAAGTGTTCAGGTTGGAAGGGGTAACCCAACATCGCTGACAGTTGAAACAGGACCCCACATTCATGACTGCGGACATTGCGGCACTCCTTATCACAAAAGCTACAGCGGCCACGACCACTGCCAATATTGGCGAGACCAACGACATGTGCAGCATATTGGGCAGCATGTGCAACATCTACGGATGCTGATCTGTGTAGTGCTTATGGATGGATCGGGCAGCTATCTGGCAATGACAAAAAGCGCAATGGCAAGACAGTTCCTTAATGAGGGCTTGATTCAACAACAATCCCGGGATCGACTTGTGACGTAGGTGCATCTTCAGATCAGGTCGCGCCACAATCGGAATGATCATCTCCTGAGCCGGGTTGAATGAGGTGCAGACCCTTCGATTAATGTGATCCCTCAATCTATAAAAATCCACAAATGAATGAGAGCAGTGTGAACAGATTGGACGACCGTTCCAGGCGTCTCGCAAGGGATTATATAGATCATCCGGTTCATAAGGGATGGTGTGTGCTTGTCTCATGTGGCGTTTAAGGGCTCCCACCTGCTTGAATGCTCGATGGCACTCCGGGCACTGAAGTTCCTGAGTGAGCTGAGGATCCGGTGTGTCGACCGGCATGGTAAGGTCGCTCGGCCATACATCTAGGGTGCAGGCACATATGTCAGGTGAATCTTCAGTCATGGCTTCCATTCGAAGTTTGATAGCACGGTTATGCAAGGCTTGTTTGATCCTATGTTGTTGTTGAAGCTGGGTCCAAGGCGGATTAAGATGAAGTCGGTCGAAGAAACTTTGCGTCGATTCGTGTGTCAGACAAACAGGGGACTTAATCATAATCCTATGATGTGTATTAATCATACTTACAAGTTTCGCCAGACCTCGACGAGTGATCCCCATTTCATGGATGCCATAGCTAACAGTGGCCATAACACATTAACGATACAGCTTTAATCGGATCGCAAGTGGGGAACCGATCGCAAGTGGGGAACCGTGCTAGTAAGCCAAGACCTAATTTAGGTGCAGCCCCACTTAGCAGCTGCAATCCGTCTCATAGTTGAATCAAAATCGAATGCACGATAACTCGGAAACACTCCAAGATAGGCTGTTTTAGACACGAGGGGCAAGCGCCAGAGTTTCTCCGGCAAGATCAGCTCTGGGCCATCCGGTTTTCGATGTACCCAACGACGTAGGAAGCTAGGAACTTCGCGACCAACCAATCGGATTATAGCAAAGCTCTTTTGCATGTTAATCTTGAGACCAAATGCATTAAATGTATCCAATACATGTTGAAGCTCAGTTAAAGCCTCAAGCGCATGGGGTGTAGATTCAATGATCCAACGAAGATAAACATCGTCTGCATAAACAACTATGTAGTCGCGGAGCCATGCAAGCGAGTACCTAACCTTAAGGTCTAGGAAGATGGCGCTCATTACAAGGGTCCAAAGCAATGCACTTATGAGGGACCAACCATGAATGCATCAATCGCAGAGCATCTACATCGAACTGGCATTAATCGAGCGCTTAAAGGACCAAGGATCTGGCTACCGTATCGAAGGCCCTTTCCATATCTAAGGAGATCTGTAACCCTTCCTGTAACCCTTCCTACATACCCGGTGCATTGGGACTCGAACGAAAGTGGTTACATGTGTTGCGAACTTATCTACAACGAGAAGCCACGATAAGCAGGCAGTCACGAGTCCCCCGGGAAGGTAAAAAGGCGTACAACGGCAATTATCTCAAAATAGGAAAGGCCTAAGACAAAATAAGACGACATTGTAGGCCAGCGAAAACCTTGCTAACAAGGTGTTAGAGACATATTATAAGTATTAATTATTAAAATAATCCATTAAAAAAAAAAAATAATAAATCATTCTCATATAATTTTCTTTCATTTAATTATAATATTACTAAAATATAATTTAATTTTTCCAACCGAATAATCCATATCAATATAATTTATCGAATATCTATTTCCTATTATTAATTAATTCCTCAAAATTCCAAACATAAAATATATAATTTCCTATTCTAACAATAATTCCGTTATCAATTATTACCGTTCAATTTTCATACTAATAACTTTATACCCTTCGTTTAATCTTACTTTATAATACAATTTGCTCGAATATATTTATTTCAAAAAATAAAAAAATGTTAATTCGATTTTCCAATACAAATTTTATTTATTCGTCAAAAAACAAAGAAATAAATAATATATAAAATATATTATATATATATATTAAATTTCAATAACACAATCTTTATTAAATCTATAATAAAAAACATATAAATTAATATATCAAAATTATGTATAATATTTAATCAATCTATATATTTATTATAATCATTATCGATGATATTTTAAAATATATTATAGTTCCAATAAATCGATCCGAATTTATCAAAGAATTATGCATTCATATATAACAATATTATCAAATTATATATATATAAATGTCTAGTATTGGCTTGTAATGCAAGCAAAACGCATAGGAGAGTCTGCCGTTCACTGTGAGGTGCACGATCATGTTGTACATAGACCTAAGTGAGGAAAATATGTGTCCTTTGCTTTTGCTATTTTCCAGTTGAGTTGAGGAGCTGGGAGGAGTTGTTCTCCATGCATCGTGCTGTGGCCAATCATCCGCATTGCATGCCCAGCATCGTCAGATTGCTCATGATCAAACCTTGCAGGAAGCCGGTGCCATTGTCAGCTGTTTGAGCTGGTCCAATTTCGGTGTCGCTGTTGAGAACATGGCCGAAATGATGACCATGCAGCAAGTGTCTTGCTCATTGGATCTCTCCTCAGAGTTGCTTTTGGGCGCTGTGCTACAAATTCAAAGACGGCGCTGCGCGCGAATCTTATCACGGCAATTGCACCTAAAGATTGCGTTGCTCCCTTGTAAGCTGTGCCGGGCAAAGCATCTTCCTGTCACTGCACAGGGGAACGATGCAAGAATCCAAACAAACTACAAGGAAACCAGCGACAAGCGCTACATTGTTCTGGATTCTCGCATGGCAGCCGATGCTTGGTTAGAAACCAGCCACACATCTTTCTTCAAGCGCCCTCATCTTGCCACACAAGCAAGTATGCAAGCACTCACTTCCCACGAGCCTGAAGGTTCTCACATTTCTGGAGAGTCATCTACGAAGTAGACCATTCCAATCCTTTTTGTACCTTTCCTTCTAGTCTACAAATTTCTTGTAATGCAATTGAGCTGCAGCACGTTCTTGTGCTAAGGCTGACTGTCCTGCCACTTCATCCAAAGCGCCGGTGAAACTTTTCCACGGGAGAGACTCCAAAAGGCTCCAAAAAGTAGAAAACCGTCTAAGAAGAACATAAAGATCGACGGCATGATGACTGACCGGGAACTCCTGGTGATGCCATCGAAGAAGGCTGTGTTTGTTTCGCATTTGCTGCGTGGGCTGCCTGTCATGGAGCCGTGTGAGCCCCGATTCTCCAAGAAGCGCACAGCATGGCCTGCAGGAAATGGATCACCGTCGCTTCAGATGGAGTCCTGAAGGGACTGAGAGCCAGTTCTGTCCTTGACTGGCAGCCAGGCCATAGGGAAGAAATCGTTGGCAAGTTGCTATTCTTTACATTTATCCTCCCAAAGGTTGGAACAACATGTTGATCACTTCTTTAGGTGTTGCGGATGCAACTTTTGCTGCACTTTTGGTCATACTGGATCAGCTAGACAAAGAAATTTCTTGCTTCTAAACTGTTCATGGCTTTTGCTTTGTCGGTGTGGGAATGCCCGCAAAAGTGGTGTTTGTATTGTTTTCAACCTCTCGCATTTCTCCGATTTGTAGAACAGCAACTCTTGCCAGCAGACAAGGTCTAAGGTAAATCATGTTCATAGAGCGAAACATCGAATCCACCAGGATGCGACAGGTCCTCTGATCTTCAGGCGTACTTTGCAAGTCTGGTAGCCTTACAACTTTGGAAGCCGTGATCGCGTTGTCACGCGTTGTCACATCTCAGCCTTCCTCATCTTCCCCATCCCTTGACCCAGTCACATGGGCAGCAGGATGGCCGTAAAGGATCGGATGAGGCTATGCGCCTGGGCCTGAAATCATGTCCGATAGACTTTGGTCCATACACCCCCCATGTGGGCATGTGCACAAAGAGATCGGCCTTGTTGAGCCGATTGGCCTTGGGCTTCTTCTTCTCTCGGATGTTTTTGACTTGACTTTGCACCTACGCAGCCAGATGCGCGGCGCGCGGCCGTCCGGTGTCCGATTCGAAGCGATTCGAGCTGCACCTCTTCAATGCGCTTTCGGAGCTCATCGCACGAGTTGAAGGTTGCCTGCAGAAAAAAGGGCCAATTTTGGCACACAACGATGAAACTGCACTGCACATTCGCCTCAACTTCCAGTTCTGCAGAACTGACTCGCAGCTTCTTTTTGAGATCCTGAAGCAATCTGGCTTTCTTGATCTCCCTAAACAACGCTTTTAGTACATATTGTCATACTCTTCATTGATTTACTGTAAGTTCAATCAATGGGTTTGTCAATTTCCAAGGTCACGGTGGGCCCCATGGCATAAGAGCCCTGCATAGTTTGGCCAGAAACCAGTGGACCGTTCACAAACTTGAACCCCTTCACAAGGCTTTGAGTCAACGTCGCATTTCTGGCCACATCCCAAAACACACGAACGTCGTGGTTGACGTTGGTGCCCAAGTTTCTGTTCAGCATGCAATGAACTTTGGCAAACATTTAAAACAACAACAAATGACACGATACCAAGGCTCTTGATGGATCTTCGCCTCCTGTGCACGCGGCACGTTTCGATGCTTGTCGTCATAGAAAAGCTAACATCTAGCAAGCGTCTGTGTAACTATCTAACATGCTGAATGACTCAATGAACGAAGCAACGAATGAATGAAGGAAGGAAGGCAGGAAGGAAGGAATGTCTCAAAATCAGGTGAGATTCTGCCATCTGTGGTGCAGGGTCGTTTGACTTCAGAATGATCGGGTTGAAGAACGGTATTGGGACAATTCGGTGTCCCTCCTTTTGGGGAAAGTCCCATCTCGTTTCAGTCTCCTCTTCGGCTCGAAGCTGCATCGCTGCAGCTTCTCCCAGGTCCCCCTGCAGGGAACTGATCATATCCCAGACCTGCAAATGGCTATGACGCTATGCCCAAAACATGTCCCGCCCAAAACGGTTCGAGCCAACAATCTGAAGTGCCTGACATGCCTGACAAACAAAGAAGATCAAAGCTGCTATCCGCTGCTCACCTCTTATGATGTGGATTCGGGCTAGTTGAGTTCAGGCGTGATTGGAACAAGTGGTCCAAAATTTGAAGGCCCACTCGTTTGTAGTGACATTCTTGTTTGAGTCGGGTCATGGAAATCCGCTGCTCACCTCGGAGAGCATCACTTCTGCTCCAGGACTTCCCAGCTGCTCGGAGTGTTCATCCGCATCGTACAGGGCCGATTTCACCTCAAACAGCTCTGTCGGGCGGCACCAACAGTGCGTTCTGATTCAAACGGTACGTCTTCACTCCAGGTCTGAACACTTCAGCTCTGAAAATGTCTCCTCTCTTCACCTCTTTTTTCACTCTGTCTAGGATCCCGTACCTTGGAAAGAGTCTTCAGAGATTTCAACAGAAGCCTCCGGTAGTCCTGGACAGATGCCTCCACTTCTGCCTTTTGCCTCGCTAGTCCCTGATGCCGCTGCCAGGTGCGTGCACCACCAGCTGTACCCGCGCCACTCGCTCCACTTGCTCCGCTCTTCGGAGTGGGCTTCGCTCGAGGCTCTGAAACGCTCGGAGGGCTCAGACCGCTCGGGTAACTACTTTGGCTGGGGGAGGGTGCCCTCAAGTACTCCTCCGCACGGCGTCTGGGGCTCTTGAACTCGGAACTCGTTGTTCTGAACCTGATAAGCGTCTTGGAAAGAGCCATGAAGCAAGAGAGTCAACACTCAATCTCAAAAGATGCACAGTGTGAAACAGTAAGCATTGCAAGAGAGTGTGAAACAGCAAACCATGTGTGGCCCTGTTCCATCTTGATGTGTGAAAAAGCGGCACTTACGTCCATGGCCTTGGACGCTTCAACTTCAGGGCAGCGGTGTCCACGGCAGCCTGCGCTGCAGACCGTGCATCAGCAGCCCTCAGTGCACGCTCAGAGGCTGCAATGTGGGCTGACTGACCTCGATGCAGTGGAGCGGGCGAGCGCGCGCAACTGCGACAGTCTACCAGCAGTACCCGAACCACAATTTTTGTGTTTTCCACAAGCCTAAGGATTCTTGTTTGAGTATTCATCAAAAAATTGCCCTAGTTATGGCAGGTTCTACTGTGTTTGCTTTGACAAGGGGTTATGGCTCTCTCCTATACACGCGCACGAATTACTCGATCTTCTCTGCATGAGGATAGCAGGCATCATCTGTGAGGAGCCTGGCCTTGTATTTAATGCCCTGGAGCCAAATCAATCCCTGGAAGATTTGGCTCCTTATCTTAACCATGTTAATAGCAGTACTCTGGAAGCCTGGCCTTGTTATTTTCGCGCTTCTTACTTATGTTACTTCCCCAGCCAGGCCGTCACATTTGGGAACCGTCCAACCTCCCAAACACCCATGGTAGCGACCATGGTAACGGCAATTCAACGCAGCAAAAGTTGATTGAAACTGAAGCGGAGCTACGCGGTCTAGAATAGTCATCGGCATCTTGGCTGATGGTGCCTCAAAGGAGATCAAGTTACATCGAATGCGATTCTATGCCTCAAATGATCTCAAATGACCAGCTCTTGAAATCCTATTGTCAAAACTCGCAAACGAGCACTCTCAGCCTGAAGAACTGCTACACAGTGTGACATCCATCCGTTCCTTGGAGCATCAACATATCGGGAAATACATCTGACTCAAGCAAATTTCAACACGACTTTCAAAGCGAATGAATTTAAAACAAAAGAAAGAGCAAGAGTTGACCGCTGCCACCACAGCCTGCACAGAAATCGACGAACAGGGCTGCCAGGAAAGACATCAGTGTTGCCAGGGCTCTGTGATGTCATCGACACTGGCAGCAACACCCGACAGCCTTTCATCGGTGGGCACCCGGCGGACGCTGTCTGCTTGCATCCGATGCGCATCGGAGGGCCGTGGGACGCTGTCGGGCATTCCGACCGCGTGGTGCATTCCAAAGCCTCCGCTTGGCGCAGAATCTGGATCTGGTGGATCGGTCTCCTTGGTGGCTCTTCCACTCAAAGAATCGCCCTCATCTTGCATATACAACCCACTGGTAGAGGCAAGCTCTACCGGCTCTTCAGCATCCAGTCCCATGGCAGTCTCTGCCATTGCTGATGTGCTTGTCGTCTTGAATCTAAGGTTTCGACTTGTAGAAGAAGTAAGGGAAAGTTGATGACACAGTTGGTTGAGTCGTGTCCGGAGGACCGTTGAACAAATCACTTGCAGGATAAGACTGCCCGTGACCGCTGAGCGTCTTCAAAGTGCCTATTTCTTGCTGCACCAATTTAGCACGTGCCCCAGATTGTGCATGAATGAAAGAATCTTAAATTGCAGTGAACAATTTGGAGCATGGACAATCTTTAAACTAGGCATTCCATGATGACTTTGACAGCCAGCTGGGCTTCACAATGGCACGCAGAATATCTGAGCATGATCGAAACCAACAGAATCTATCAGCTGCACATCGATACATCAAGAATGCACTCATCCTACAAATCAACGCAGCACAACGGCCTCTGTCAACCCAAGTGCGATCCGCCTGCGAAGCAACGGACCGTCCCGGAGACCCGCACCGTGACCCGCGACCCGCAACCGTCGCAACGACCGCCTGGCCTCGCTGACGTTGCTGATGAGTTGCAAGGTCTCTTGAGTCAAAGATCCTGGAACCAATCGGAAGAAACATCTGGTGAAAACCCATACTAAAAAATACTACTGTATCTGAATGCATCTACAGTAAATCATTCTGAATACATCTAAATCAATCTTCCTACATCTTCCTACCAGCTTTGGATTTTAGAGAATAGCCGAGTCCCACCTTCAAGACCAAAGAAATTTGCCAGGACATTGTCCATGAGCCTAGCATTTGGCACTGGTGCCAATCACAACCAGGCAGCACATGCAAAGCATACAGTATGCGAAGCATGTGGCTTTGCATCGCAACATCTGCACGCCTTGTTGCTGCGGGATTCGTCCTGGTCTTCTGCGCGCACAAGAGCCGCAACCTGCGAAGGAAAGAGTCCAGAGATGCCATGCAACAGGCATCGCGTCGCTAGCTGTAACAAGGGCATCGCTACTAGTAACGAGGGCATTACTACTAGTAGCAAATAGCAACTAGTAGCGTCCTTGCTACTAGTAGAAATGCCCTTTGTTACTAGTAGTTTCTTGTTCCAAGTAGAAATGCCAGGAGCTACTAGTCAAAGGAAGTTTAGGGTGCAAAACTTCCGTGTTACGGACTTTCAAAAGCTACTACTACCACCACCACCACCACTACTACTACTCCTCCTGCTACTACTACCACTACTACTACTACTACTACCACTACCACTACCACTACCACTACCACTACCACTACTACTACTACTACTACTACTACTAGTAGTTACTGCTACTGCTACTGCTACTGCTGCTGCTGCTGTTACTGCTGCTACTACTACTACTACTACTTAGTAGTACTTAAGTAGTAGTAGTAGTAGTAGTAGTAGTAGTAGTAG